AACAATATCTACTAACTATTTAATAAAATAAATTAAAAAAATTAATAAAAAAAATTTAAAAAATTAAAAAAAAATTTTCTTTAAAAAAAAAAAAATGTTTTCAACAAAAAAATTTTTTTTCCCAGTACCATAAAAGACATGCGCGCGAGGGTGATAAACTAATACTTTTTTTATTGGGCCTAATGATGATTTCAAATAAAGATAAAATATAATTTTTGGCCAATTAGTGCACCCACCGCCACGAAAAAAATGGAAATTTTAGAAAAAAAGTAGAAGTTTATTTACGGTATTTTTATTACACCCGCCGCTGCCCTGCCAAAATAAGATATCCTAGTAATATATAAATTCAAAATATCTACCCATCCCGTTACTACACTGTTTACATTCAACAATAACATTTTATTATTATTTTTGCCTCCTATTTTTGTTACTATAAATAGTAAATCAAAATTTTTTTCCCGCCCTCCTCTGATAATCTTGAAAAAAATAAGTTTGCGAAACAAGGTATAAAAAAGTCTTGCTTAATCTTGATTTTGTGATTGCAGTATATTTTATAGATCTTTTTTTAGCAGAAATTCTCAACAAAACTTGCTAGAAAGAGGTCAAATTTCTGGCTAATCCAATACAACTGCATAACCCTCTTTACCATGAAAACCTCTTGGGAGAAAAGCCCTAAACTTGCTCTCAGATTGCACTTGTAGTTAAGTTTTTATGTGGTCATTGGCCTGTGTTAGTTTAATGTGAATGTATACCATCTAATAGGATCTAGTTGTAATTGGAATCCCAATCAAAAAATGGGTAATAATTTTTAGAAATTTAGAAAAAAACCTGAAAAGTTGATTGCATTATCATTCATGGGACCGCCTGCCACCTACAAATTTACGAAATGTTACAGGGGTAAATCGAGTAGGCCTGAGATATGTTTTGTTTAATTGTCAAAATATTCGTCAGAATAAAGTTTGAACAAGTTTTAAACTATTGTAATAAAATATTGTATTCACAATGTGTCAATATGGATGTCGGCCGTTTTTATGTCTGATATCAGTAACTAAATCGAGGCAAGGCTACTAGACCTACCCTAGTAGTGTTGCTAGGCTAATGTATCTGGCGGCTACCTATCTCAAAATCAAATATAAACTAATATTATCCGTGTTCATTTTTTGTGTGGAACACAAAAAAACACAAAATAAAACACAAAAAAAAAAAAAAATTTTTATCTTGTGTTGCACTTTTTTTCATGCTTATTAGAATGTCTAAATTCAGTTAAACTAGAAATTTGTATTATATTTATAAATCTTTCTAACATACAGGATAAAAATCAGATTTTTCTTTAAAAAAATGATATTTTGCCTGGAATTGGGGCTGGAAAATAACTAATCTCCCACAAATTCTGGATATTTGCATGTTTTTGCTGCTGTATTTTCAACTGTCTTCCGGAAGTCTGTGCCAATCGCTATCTCAACACACAGAAAAATAAAATGAATTGTGTTAAGAAAGTTCATTAACCAGATCTCACCCAAATTTCTTAACTTGGGAGCCTGTCCTTATTATAATAAGACCCTGCCAATCAAGGCAGGCCTTTGGTTGAGAGGCATATAGCACAATTATTGGTAAAAAATTCTTTGTGTGTATGTGAATACCTGAATAAATTGTTATGAATAGCAGGATACATTAATGTTTCTCTGTGTTAAATGCAAACATAGCAATGAACTCAATATTTATCCAAGTAGCTTTAATCAATGATGATTACAGTAGACGTTTTCCGTATTATCATATAATATTAAATGCCTTATACCCTATTCAGACTACACTCTCTTGCGATCGGTTGCGATGTAATAAGTGGTAATCAAAAAATGATTACTCCTGATTGCAGTCAACGCATTCAGACCAACACAAACAAGCTTTACATTCTAGGGCCTAGGCCTCCGGTGGCTAGGCCTATGTTGCCTGACCTCAGCCAAACAGTGCCTGTGGAATTCGTTGTGATTCGTTGCGATCAGATTCTATGGTAATTGGGAGTAATAAAGATTGTAACACCCAATCGCAACGGGTAACAATTGCGACTATAACTACCAGCACAATACTAACAGTACAAAAGACAATCTTTTATCTCTGTAAACCAAAAACAGACTACAAGAAAAGAAGTTTTACTTATCAAGGAGCAAAAGTTTGGAACTCTTTAGCAGATGAAGCAAAAAATGCTGAAGATCTAAAGAGTTTCAAAAAAATTGTGTCATACTTTTCCAATATGTTGTACTGTAAATAATTTTTGTTTAAATTTTACTGTTACCAGTACTTTCTGTTGTTTTTCTTTTGCTTTTAAATCTTTTGTTTTGCTGTTAGTAGTCTTGGAAGACCAATCTTTGTGAAAAAACTGAAAAGAGTTTCCGTGAATAAATAAAACTGTTATTAATTATTATTATTATTATTATTATTATTATTATCTATACTCGTCTGTAACGTGGAGTGTTAGTAGCTTTAATGACAATAGAACCAGGGACGCAATTGTTCAATGGTTTGAGTGCGTACACGAATGTTGCCACCGGCAGTTATAACCAAACTGGTTATTGATATTCACAAACACTTTTTTATAATCAATACACAGATACTTTGGCAAAAGGCCCAATGGTTGTCATGCAGAGAATTCACTCACCATCGATATTACTTTATGTATAACACGGATGCGGTTAAATTCACAAAGACAAGTTTCTCTATTCATATACACTAAATAAACTAGTTCTAAAATATGTCATGTCGCTAAAGTTGAACTGCCCTAGAGTAACCTATTTTTCTGACATTTTTTCATTTATTTTCCAACTTTAACATAATATTGTAAGATAAACAGATGTAATCCTTTTCCATGATCAAATTATGTAAGATGATTGTACAGTACATAAACAGTAGCGGCTTCTGGGGGTTGGGGTGGAGCCGGCCGCCCTCCTCCGCGTCCACTGACTCCCTCCTTCCCCACCAAATTTTCAAAATTTAGGCATGAATGACGATAACGACAATGAAATATTCATATTTGTTATCGTTTTTATAAGGTTGCGAAATCTTCCTAATATTCAAATCATAAGACCCAATCCTGCATATCCCAGTTTATGCACTCTGGGATAGAATATTTTTTAAAATAAGTTGATCAGATTTTAATAAAATTAGACAGTTTTCGAAATTACACATTAAATGTCATCCATACACTTTGTCTAACTTTGCTCAGCTTTATTTATTTAATTATCAATTTGACACATGAATGAAACAAATGCACAATTGATGAAATGACCGACCAGGAGAGGATCGCGTTGAGAGTAAGGTATGGGCAAAGCCCAGTACCATTGGTCGTAGACTCTGAATGCTTGTTTCAACGTCCATGCATAATTATGCACAGAAATGGTCTTTAATTGTGTTTATGAATATACCGGGTCGCGTGTCGTGAGGTCGGATCATTTTGCGTCACACCATGTTTTTCTATTGTTTTTTGATTTGGAACACTAATCTTGATATAACCAGAAGGTTGTAAAAGTATAATATTTGGAAAGCCCACATTATAAGGTATCCATTAAAACATTTTTTGAAGTGATTAAATGATTCATATTTAAATTAAATGCAAAAAAACTTGAAAAAACTGGTGAGAAATATATTGTAGGTCAAAGTTGCATAATTCGAAAGGGAAATACATAACTGAAAATATAACTCCCGTTTTTGAATCTCCATTTAAGATGGGCTTTTAAATGATATGCTACTCATAAGGATTGAAGTGTAATAAGTTTGTCATGAAACATTAAATTTAACGAAAATTTAATTTTCACGCACAAGCATTTTTACAAAGAATTGTTGAAAGAATCATCAACTAACACATTTAAAACATCACATATCACTTTAAAATAGTGTGAACATTATGTTTAAACTTTAGCTTTTCCTTCTACAGCATTAAAGTTTGTTCTGATTTTATTTTTATGAACAAAAAATCACACATATTAAAGCAAAATGCTTGTCAACCTTGGTCAAATCAATCCCAACATAATATGTATGATGATGATGATTTTGGGTACAATGGCCACATTTCTAGTAAGTTTTGAACAAATCACCTTTTCTGTTAGATTGCTTGTTCATAGTAAAAACCAGTCACTACTATCCTCTCGGATAGTTACAGTATGTCCATAGCTGTCACTCACAGACACATTTTCATACGGTACCTATACCCATTGAGTTAACATGTAATAGAAAGTAATCATAAAAGTCATCTTTACTAGCTCTTATAGCACTACAGAATCCTTACAAATGAAAGAACTGATCCAATCCAAACTATTATCAAATTTTTATATTTAATTGTTATGAATGGACTGCAGTTTGTCTTAAAAGCCAATTATTTTTTCTCTATCGAGGCCAGTAGGAAGCCTCAAAATCCTCACTGAAGTTAGGTACTACTGAGCTTGCCCCTTTGTGGCCCTGTGCCTTTATGAAAAATAAATTTAATATTTATTCACGCTTGGGCCTCCACATCCACCTTCCAACTAACTGACATTTGACCCCATGAAGTAGGAACCCCTTAACATTAATTGTTGAAAATCACAGGAATGAATGCCTATTAATTGCTCTTTCTATTGATACCTTACTTAAAAGAATCCATAAAGGCATTAAAAAGTTACTGTTAATCAAAAATGAAAATTGCAAACAGATTTGACAAATCCACCCTTTTTGGGGTCCGACCTCACAACGCGTGACCACTGGCCAATTCTGCATGACTATGAAAATGTAAGAAAGTGTTTAATTTGCATATAATATATGTTGCGTGCGTTGCGATTTATGGAAAGAAGATGGCCTGATGACAATTCATAAGGTATAATACCTTTTAACATACCAGCAACCAAAGTCATGTTATAAGTGAATGTAACGTAAGACAATGTAAGACACATACCGGAGTCAAGGATACTAAACCCCCTACAATTAAAAATTCAATGCGAGAGATATTTCTCGTGAATGCCAAGGCCGCGGTGACTTACGCATTCATAAAGGTGCAGTGTAATCCGTGTATTGTACGCTGCTTAAATGAGATAACGTGATTTAATTCTCGCCGGTGCCTCATGACTCCTTTTGGATATAACGGTACTATTATCGCATTAGCTTGATCCTGCATATTGTGTTGCTATTCTTCTGTGGACTAAATATCACCATACACTGAGTCAATAACTCTACTTTGTCATAACGCCACAATCCTAAGTCTTATGTAAAGTTATTCACACGACTATTGTACTCGGACAATGATAATCATGATACAAAAGGCTGTGTAAATCTGCTGATGAAAGGCCATTTTTTGACTGTCTATTACGGCATAGAGGAGACCCTGGAAGTTTTACAGGCATTGTAGGACAATTCCATTTTGCAAACATAAGAACAAAAGATAACAAAGGAACACCGATTCATTGACTTTCAACATTGTTTACCTTTTGTTAAGAATCAACTTACCTCGACACAACTAAACAAACTTGGAAAGTTCCCCCACACGTTAAAATAAAGTTGAGTGAGATCAAATACCGCTCTTTGAATTGCTCCTCAAAAGACTTCCCGCAACTGTTTATTTTTAGAACATGCTGGTGGTGCCAGGCTTTTTAATTTTGCCTCTATAAAATGTGAACTTAGTTTCCTTTTAAGGAAAAATATCATTTAATTTATCCTTTGTAAGCTCCTTAAAATTATCCATGATCATTTTTTTTTTTTTGCCTAAATTTTGTTAAAATAGCATACACATCTTAATCATCATGATTATCACTATCATTATGATTATCATTTTTCATTACATAAAACAGGTGCCTTACCATAAAACCACAATTTTTCATTCAATCAGTACAGGTCTCCCTGCAATTGAAGACTACTTTTTTCTGTAGTCTTTAACAGCTTCAGTCCCCAATTAGTTAGAATGATAAAGAAAAAAAAAGGTAGTTGTTTATTTGGGATCACAGAAAAGTAGTCTGTAATTGGAGGTTTATTTAATTAGAGTGAGACCTGTATCTATAAATCCAACATGTGGGACTTTCTGGTATCACTTTTTACGTTGTTTCTAACATGTTTTTACTAGTTACTATTACTTGATATATTTGCAATCTGTGACCCATCATATTGTTAGCGATCATGACATAATTTCAAGCAGTGCTTATTATGGCAAGTGTTTGTACTTAATTCACCCATTTTTCAAAAAAAGAAAAATCACCAGTTTTTCCAATAAAACACAGATGAAGTCAATTTCCTCTTCTGCGGTATAATACTTAGCCATCACTAAGCCGGTGTAAAGTAGTTAATCTTCCCCACTACATAATAGGGTACATCTGAAACAGAGCATGGCAATGAGCAGACGACAGAACACTATGGAAGCAGACGACAATCAGACAAAATGGTAGTGAGGTATTAAGGTGCATTAGAGCAGACTAATGACAACTGATCCTATTTTACATAATCTTATGTAGGATCCTATATGAACAAGGTGATGTACAGACTTAGTAGTATTGGAGTGGTCAGAACCTTTTAATTAAGTACTTTCACAAAAGTTTAGTTTCAATAAACTTAATAACAATATACACCTCGTCTGCATGTTCCTTTTGAGTTAAATAGAGGCAAACTTTATGGTTAACAGGTACCTTACAAATATAAAGATTAGTAGCATTTTTCAAGGTACAAAAATGAACAAAGAAAATAAATAAAAAGTGACATCTTTTCCAAAACTAGAAAGTGCAAATTTCACCAAGAAGATTTTTATGTCTTATCAACACATAAGAGTGCATGTCTGTTACGAGAGATTTAAAGCCCATCATAGTAGTTAAGAAAGAGAAAGAATACTGTAGTGAACTTTGCCAAAACCCAACTGATAATAATATTTGACTAGTAAGGCCAATATAGCTATCACTTATCTGGATAATATGATGAATCTGACATCTGCAGAGCTTCATGTGGGCGAAATTGTCATGGGCGTAGGTTGAATAATTTTTGAAACCAAGTGAATTTATTCAATGTTATATCAAATGTGTGAACTTCTTGAGACTCAGATTACTGTAGAACAATTTAGATTTTACTGAATTACAAACTTTTTTTTTTTTTAAATTTTTTTTTTATTCGCATCCAACAGCAAGTACACTCGCCACTTACAAGATGGATTGATACTTTATACCAACCTCATTACGAGGATTAGGGAGTGGAAGTTGTTAGTCGTGAGAAAAAGTTCTACTGTCTCAGGAATTGGACCCATGACCCGGGAATTAGAAGGCAAGCACCTTAACCACTAACCAACTGCACTTTCTGCAAAAAAAAGTAATCATAATCTTAATCTCGAAAGCTCCGATGAGGGCAGTATAATAGAGGCAGTAGAGTAAAGGATCTATTTATCAATCGGATTAATAAATCAGCCAAGTGTTTCATCGGAGCTAAAAACGCTAAGCCCCACCCCTTGGATACTGTTGCTAAGGTCCCACAAAACGACGGTGTTGAAACATACGCAAACACATGCTTTTGTGGGACAACGTGTGTGCTTGTTGGACATGCGCATATTCCTGGCACAGTTTTCATTGGTCGGTTGTTAAAGTTTAACACTCCTGAAAGGCCCATTGACACAGAAAGTATTTTCTTGTTATAATTACCAATTAAAAATTTATCTCTCTTCTTTTTTTGCTCATTTCTAGGTGCTCCACTGTCCATGTAAACCAAATCGTCCTCTTTTCTATTCATGTATCTTTTCTCCAAAATTCACAACTTTTACTTTTGGCCGTACCTCTTGGTTTCTCATTCTCTCCTGTCTTTTCATCCCTCTAATTGTTGCAGACATCTCATCTCTGTCACTTTCAACTTCTTTACATGCTTTTCTTTCACTGCCCACATATAGCCCATAGAGAGGTACGTCTTCATGGTCTTGCGTACACCATCCTTAATATCCACTCTCTTATTACTTAGTTTGCCAATATTATCAAACCATTGGTTAATATTACTGTTATTAATTAATAACAGAGCAAGTGAGCAATATAATTTCCATAATTTGGATAATAAATTAATCTGTATTACCCATCAGTGGCAGATTCAGTAATGGATTTTCACAGATAGAGGATCCACCAGATGCAGATGATTAAGGCACCTCTAGATGGCTGGGAATTTCACTCTCAGATTTGCTTTTCTCCAGTATTTTTTTTTTTTTATTCTGAAAAATTTTGTTGGGAGGAAACAATGATTCCATCACACCACTGACCGCCTCTAAAATGCCTACCACCCCCACTTAGATTTCTAAATCTACAACCCTGCAATACATTATGCATTGGTAGTATTTATACGGGTGCGTTCGAGCCATACACGCCTATTAAATTCCGTGTATATGACAGGTAAACGCACGGCTTTACATCACGGGGGGTCCCCGCATTCGAGCACAAACTTATTTTGTCTAACCGTGTAAAAATTTACCTCGGAAATATTCGTTTGAGGTCAGCGAGGAAATAGTATATCCCATCATGCCACGCAATATTTACGTTTCTAACCATGCTTCACGCACTTGTACTGTACTCCCTGCGCAAATACTTCAGTTTATTGGTGATCTGTGTCACCGTCAGCTTTCCCCTAAATTTTTTTTCTATCTTTACATTTATTTCTTTGTAAATACCGCTGTTTCGGCGGGTGCCGTCCAGTTGTCTTTGTATTCTGTCTCCCCCCACAATGAGAGAAGGTAACGTATCATAGGTTCGGTTTACACAGACATGTTGAAATGATGAAGATGATGCTATAAAACAGGGAGTTGTTATAACAACTCCCTGCTATAACATTAACAACAAGTCAGCGAATGCATTTGTTTTTGTAAAACTGGACAGCCTATGGTTTTCGCGCGTGTTGAATTGAATTCATGTTGACCGCCAGACGGTAGAGTCATTAAAACATGATTAATGGTCGCGATAATGGCCTTTGACAGTGATACACGGTTCTATAACCCTAAATTTGGTGGTCAAAACAGGTGAGCGTGTTCCAGATGTTTTTTACATCTTACCCCCGTTCGAGCCACGCACTGCATTTAACTTCCGTGTAAATACACGGACCTCGCACGGATATTTTTCTGGCTCGAGCACCCTAAGAGGATATGAAAAAAAAAAAAAACAAACGGACCTTGTGGGACAATATGTACTTGAGTGGGAAACAATATTGTGGTCGCTTCCTTTTGTCAGTCCTATTGTGGTGGACTGAACATTAATGATTTGTGATCAATCCAAGTATTTGGAATCTGTCAATATTTTGTTTATTTTCTGGGATGCTAGATTATAATTTGCTAACAAGACACTTCTTTCTCTTGTTTGCCACAATTGCTCTGTCAATTTGAATATTTGTGAAAAGATGATGAAGGCATTCGAAATATGTCTACATCAGTAAAAGGGTTACAAGTCAAAGGTCGAAATATATTATAAAAATTGTTGAAATCTTGAGGGAATATGGTGACATTTCTATGGCTTTAAGTGACAAAAATGAAATTTTATTCTCTTTTTTGTGCAACCACTTTTACAGTAGTTTGATGTTCAGATTAAAAATAATCATAAAATCGTATTGTAAGAAGAGAATTAATTTTTAACACTCTGCCTGCCAGGGGTTTGAAAAAATAGACTTTTTAGCAAATTTTAACACTTTTCCGAAGCTCGTTGAGAGTGTGTATGTGATCAGGTTGACATGTAGTGAATACTACAAGAACTACAAACATTTTAGCTTTACAATGGTACCAAACACTTTAATATTCTAATCTCAAACTGTGACCCGTAACAGTAAAATGGAAATGACTCACTTTTGGAGATATACACAATTTCACGAAGCTGAGATAATCGCAATTTCGTGGAAGTAAATCAATAACGCTCTACGATAATGTAAACAAACAAATAGTGAAATACTTACGGTCCAGACTGAATATAATGTTCAAATTATTTCTACATGTGAGTAATTACCCCATCTATCGGATTCTGTAAAAAAACCTGAAACACGGAGATCTCCGTGTGTGGCGGTCAAGCGTTGTGGATAGTGTGTTAATGTTACATTTAGTAATCTTACTTTAACTAATCTAACTTTAGTTAAACACTGTAAAGTTTGTATAAATCATGGGGTGTTCTTTAACAAAATAATTTACCCTAACAAGTAACGTCAGATAAAAATAAATATCAAAATCAGAAAATCAATATTAAAAGTTGCACTATTGAATAATTCAAAATAATACTAAAAAAAGGGGAAGTTAGGAGTTCCTTTTTCAAAGAAAAACAATCTAAAAATGTTCATAGATACAGTAGGCCTCTCTCACATTTCGTACTGCGCATTCAAGAAGTTTGGCACTCTAGTTTGAGATTCTCCAAGTGCTTATAACACTTGTTGATCTTGTGTTATAGTTTCTCTGGAGAAGAACAAAAATGTTTAAACACATTGCACAACTGATTTTTTAAGACACAACCATTTTTGAATGTTAAAAAACTGAGGCAAAAAGGAGTGGTTTCACCCCTTTCCCCCCTCCCCCGAATTTTAAATATTTGAAAATGGGTATCTCAGTAACTGCTCTCAAGTTTTCGTTAAACACATTTTTTTGTGTCTTAGAAACGTTACAGTTGTTGTACAACATAGCAAGCAATTTTTTTTCTGCCGGAGCCGAATCTAATTGTACAGTTGAGTACAGTAGCACGTTACAACCGTATGGTATCTAATATAATTTCTCGGTATAATATAATGGTTTTGCGACAGCTATTATTTATTTATATATAATGAAATGTAAAAGCAGTTATTTTTTGAAGTCATTTCCTTATTTATATATAATGAAATCAGTGAACTTATTATATATAAATAATTGTAAGTTACTTGTCATTATAATGATTTGTTACCTTTTCAATATTTATATATAATGGAGTCAGTGAACTTATTATATATAAATAATTGTAAGTTACTTTTCATTATTTATATATAATGATGTGTTACCCTTTCCTTATTTATACTGTATATAATGAAACCAGTAACCTGATTATATATAAATAATATTTGGTTACCCTTTCATTATTTATATATAATGAAATCAGTAAACTAATTATATAAAAATAATGAAACCGTTAACGCAATTATTTACATATAATCTTTTAGACCTAAATGCATTATATATAAATAATGGGTGATCTATTCAATTATATTTTAAATGATGAATTATATATAAATAATTGTGTTAAATAATAAATTTACACTTGGCGCCTCATATAGATTATGTATTAATCCTTTTGGTACGTTTTTTCATGTTTGTGTTGAGTGGATAGAGGTCTTCATAATATGCGCTCTATAAGTCGACCTTTATTATTATTAATATAATAATGCCAACGATATAGAAATAAACATCAGCCAATAGTTTCATAAAAAAACATTAAAAATGACGTTGTTTATTAACAAAGATATTATCTTTACTACTCTTTCAGATGCTTTGACGAAAAGATGTGGTAATGACATAAGAACCTACAGTAGAGGGAATAACTCAGAACCTTCTACCTAGTCGATGGCATAAATAACTTTTGTCAACAGAAAGTGGAAGAATGGAAGAAAGTAGACATTGATTCCAGTAAACACTGCATATCTTCAAATTAAGCTTGGTAAGTTATTTACTATTTGCGGTGCATCAGTTGTGGATCAGGCGCTCCACTATAAGGTCGTGGGTTCGTATCCCATGTTGGCCATTCACTTATATTCTTGTGTGGGGCACTTTGTCTACTTTGCCACCACTAAAAAAGAAGTATAAATCTTTTAGGTATTTGTTTTACACTGAAATATTTATTCATTCTTAAATAATAATAATAGTACTCAATATTTGTGCAGCACTTAATGTTTATAAACCTTGAGGCACTTAACAACAATATAAATGTAAAAATAAACAAAGTGAAATAAAATAAATAAAGTACAACCCAATTGTAAGATTAAAAAGTCAAGTGGTCTCACCTACTGCTGGCTTGATTAGTAAGGTACCTCAGGGAAAATAAGAAGTTCCACATTGTGTCCAACCATATCCAAGAATTTTGTTTCCTTGTTTTAGCAAGTTTTATTTACTGAAAGATCTTTAAGGAAGAGTGAAAAATATAATAAAAATATGCTTTCTTATTTAATAGCAAAATGTTTTTTTTCAAAAGGATACCAGGTGTAAGAGAAAATATATAAATACCAAATTTCGTTGAGAAATAAAAAATTGTGAGACAAAAAGTACTTGAGGGCGCTAGGCCCTTGCTTGAAAACCCAATAATGTTTTTGTATAAAGAAAGAGATGTGACGATTTAAAACAATTTAGTATTTAATTAGACTGAGACCGATGATTTTTTATTATTTATCAATTCCGAGGAAAAATTAAACATCATATTCTTAGGAAAGATATGGTGGTGATGAGTCGGATGAAAATTAAATATCTATTTTCCCCCTGAAATTAACAATTTTTCTGCACAGGCCAAAAATATTTTATATTTATTTCATATAATCATCATTGTCATGAAACAAGGTACTGTATAACTAAAGAAAGTTTTGTCTAATGGTTGGCCCATACTAGAGGCTTCATCTAGGAAGTAAACTAAAACCTCACTTATGTTTCATACCCATCACTTACTATCAACATCTGTATGGGTGGGGGGGGCATAAAAATGGGTAGGGCCAAATTGAATTATTTTTTAACTTAACACCAAGGGCCACGCCTAGACTAGGACGTTTCCAGTGTGCTTTAAAAAAAAAATCAAGCACTGCTGTTGTCACTTTATAGTCTCAGTTTTAACATTACTAATTCTTATAGATGATGGGTGTTTGGCCATAAATTGAAAGTAATTGTACTGTATTTTAGCCAGAGGTGGTTGCTTGGTGGGCTGCAAACATAGGGTTTTTAATTGATTTCATGAACCGCACTTTGCCCACCTGTGATATATTTTCCTACGCATCCGATACCTTTGAATGAATTGTTCCAGAACCATTGGTTTTGTGTCTTTTTTTGTGTAATTATATTTTTGAAGTTAAATTGAAGGACAGATTTAATGGGGAAATTTTGCATTTTTATTTGACGAATCCAAATGTAATGAAGCCAGCAGTACCCACTACCTGTAGGATTCCTTCATTCACGACTAATGTAGGTCACTTTATGTTTGTCCTGGATTTCCTTTTCTCATGAATTCAGGTGCTTTATTTAAGGAATTTATAAAAGTTCTAGGCCCGACTTATACAGGCTACAGTAGTATTTACTGACATTCTTTCTCCCTTTGATTTATAACAGTTTTATTGGTTCTTTCACATTAACTGTCTACACTTTATCAATAGTGCTATGTTGCTATTATAGACTATATCCAGAAATCATATTTGCACTTTTAATTTTCATGAAGTTCAATTTTTGTCCTGAGCCAACTTATTCGCAATCCTATACTCTAAATATGTTTTGTCCAGGCTCAGATACAGTAAATGTAAGCTACCCTGTTGGCTTACAGAGTTAATGTTTTTTTGTTATGAGAAAAGAAAAATAACCCTTTAGGCTTTAAGAAAGCATTTATATATTGTTTGATTCAATCTAAGTGATACTAATTTTCTTTAATTAAAGTTTTCCAAAATATTTTGTTAACTTTTCATTAACCTGACAGATGACTTCCGATAGCTAATTGAAAAACAATTTTTATTTCTACCTCAAGGCATGTATTTCTTTACCTCTTTAAAAATGTGAGTGCTTTACTATCCTTTGTGGGCACTCTTTGACAATGGACTTGGGATCTAGCGTCAGTCACCACTTACAAACAGCCGGTGACTGGTCAACGCTGCTGACCAATTGCCACTTGAATGGCTAATTAAACCTATTTGCCATCAGTTTTCAATTGTTATTTTTTAGTTACTGTTCTTAAAACTTGATTTTATTGGTATTTTTTTAAATGTTTATTGATCTGACATGCCTTTGTAGAGTACGTCATCTGTTTTACTATAGGAAAGCAGATAGAAAAAAGAAAAGGTCATGCAGATATCATAGAAAGTACATTAGAATAATTAGGTAATGCCTAGATAAGTGAGGTTGGGTGGTATTGGCATTTTGTATATTGTACTTATGCTGTTTTGTTACAGTATTATAACATAAATAAAATGAAGTTGTGTAAACTAATCAAGCCAAGTAGAGGATTGAAATTTAGATACTTTATTTTATATCAAGTTTGGCAATTAAATTTGTAAAATCTGAATTCTGATTTAGCAATCAGAACAAAACATTGTGACTGCCACTTGGGTCTTGAAGACTCTTGCAATTGCAGGAGCCCAGAAATCAGCATGTTTTCCCACAATCCAATGAGCAAACAAAAATCTTACAGAAAACTAACCTACGGTGTCTCCTAAATTCAGAATGTATGAATTGTCTCTCAAGTCATCTGGCAATTCCTATCTTCATGCATATATATGGTCATATGGCGGTCATATGACCATTGTACGATGAATCAAACTCGGCTTCTGTTAAGTGCTAGACGACGTGACGCGACGCTATCTGCTGATTGTCAGTGCCTTTCTGAACGAGTCATCATTAAACATGATCTCGTGGCCTGACTTAAGAGAGCTCATTAAATCAGATCCTCCGGAAGTCGCCTCACCAAACTTTGGACCCCTGCTATCAATAAACCTGGTTAATAATTTTAATAAAATATATTGGGCAAATTTGTTAAACAGACAATTTTTTTATGGTCACAGGAAACATTGTATTAAACTATCATTGCTTACAATTTAATTTTCTCTGGGAAACATTGCCTTCAAATATTAAAACGAAAACAAATTGCAATGAAGGTTGTCCATTAATTATTAACTGAGCAAAAAACACACGTTAAAATAATCATAGAGAAACACATGAACAACTCCTCAATATGTTTCTTGACACATACTAAAAGTACTGAAAATGGGCTAGTACATTGCTGTGTATAGGGCAATTTATATTGCATCATGGAGGAATCTTTCACGTGTTTCTACATTATATATATATATATATATNAGTTCCATATAACCCATGTGATAAAGGAGCAGCTAGGGCTGTCTCTTATACACATCTAAGATGTGTATAAGAGACAGGTGTAAATATTTTATTCATCACCTCAATTGTGTAGTATTTTTACTCAATATTTTACAAATAACTTTGCTCTTAATTCAGCACTTGCTGCAATTGAGTGATTTTATGTTTATATTTATATTTTTTGGATGTAAATAAAATAATCCTGAATTATTATTAAATATTTTATATTTATTCAAGAATGTATTGGTTTATTTGTGAGGTAAGAATAAAAAAAAATAACATTAACATTCGGTAGATTCCATGGCAACAGTAGGCAGAAATAAAAATATTTAAAAACATTTTTTTTTCTAATAATAATAAAAATTTTTTATTCAAAATTGTCAGTGTTCATGAAACAAAAAATCTTGCGTTACTTAATCTAAAATTTTGTTCAGACTATCAAATTTTGTTTGACAAAAACTTGTTGTATGCCCGTAGCAGGATGTGATGTCATCATGACCATATTTAGGTATGTCACATGTTTTCGTCAATAAAATTTGGGATTTGGACAACGCCGTAGCCAGCATGAGGCAGATGAGGAGCTTGTTCTGTCTGGAATTTCCTTCAGTTTATTAAAATTTTCTGAATGTATTTACTGTATTTAACTTGAAAAGTCCAGTTTCCATTGACTTAATCCAGCCAGTGTTTAGAATAGAACCCAGGAATTTTATGGTTTTTCGGACACAGAAAAAAGTGTCTAGGCCCTAGAGCTTGCACCAAATCCCCACTCCACAATGCCCGGTGTTTGCATCCCCCTCCCCCTAAAATTGTTGGCTTTCCTCATGTTTTTTTTTTATTTTATCCTTTCTGGCTACGGCCCAGTTGCATGAGAATGAACAGCAAAATATAATTCAAGGAATTCACATCAATCTTACATTGGCTTATTTCACATTAAATGTTCCATGAATTTTGACTCATACTAATGTAGTACTATGCTGTCTTGGGAGAGATATACAGTCTGTGGTTTGCCAGGGTCACCTATGATTTCTATGATTTTGACCATCAATAAACTTTCTGTCAAAAAAATATTATACGGGGAAAAAATCAGAATCTAGGAAAAGCATTTTGAGAATGTCCTTGTTTTTACTTTCGAATTAGTTTATAACTTATTTCAAAACCAAATCCATTGTTATAGCATTTCTACCAAACTATGACAATAAAAATATTAAACATTTTATTTATAATGTTTTTGTTCAATAGATATCACCACCACCATCATCTTTGTAATTCATCATCATGGTTTTAAGGCATATTGTTATTTAAAGGAATATTGAGCTAATAAAACTGGAAAAATTTGATTTAAAACTTCAAGATACAGTACGTGGCTGTTGTGCTAAGCTCCTCCCCTTGGATATTGTTGCTAAGGTCTCAGAAACTGAAAGCATTTATAAATGTGATTATTTTGTGGGGCGTCTATGATTTGTTTTACTTGAAACTTGTTACATTTTTTGGGGGGGAGGGGGAAAATGGGGAGTTGTGAAACTAGGGAGCTGCAAGTTTTTTTGGGGGCATGCGTTTGATAAATGCCACCTTGTCACACTCCTGCTACTGAAAAATATATTACATGTTCATTATTTTTTTACTAATTCGGCACCAAGGACTACTTTAGAAAGCAGTAATTATCCTTGAATAATTATACCTAGAATAAAGAAATATCAAATAGATAAATTAGACTAGTGTCCTAATATTCTCATTCGATGGAATGTATGATAGATTTGGGATGAATTTTGATACTGTTAATAATGGAAAGTTAACATACATATTTCTGCTGCTATTATGTGGTTCTTGCTATAAGTATGTGGGCTTTGCTAGATTACGTGCGTTCATCGATGCATTTCGTACTTTCATCCAAACCTGATACATTGTTTGACCACTTCCTTTGCGACGTCTCCAAAATATTAAAACATTTGACACGGATATGAAGAAGTACAAGACAAGGTTTAACTGCATGTATCCGTATGTAAGCTAGCCTAAGATAGATGGTTTATGTGAACAGAATCGAACAAGTCCCACGGATTATTCACAAAAAGTTTCATTATCTTTTTCTCTGTGTGTTCTTAACTCTGACATAATTTAAGATCAAGGGTCTCTTGTGTTGGGGTCGACCCACTCCCTATAATATAATAATTTATTTAGATAATATTTAGTGGCACTCAGCCGCGTAGGCAGTGCATGCATACAAAGAAAAGTAACAATTACGCCTACAATAATTAGTCATTTACAAAAATATACGAATAAAAAAAACAAATATAGTACTAACAACTAAAATGAACTCTCAATCCACAAAAAACCAACATTAACAATAAAATATAAGGAAACATATCACAGTAACAGATATAAGGTTAAAATACAACATTTCTGTGTAATTATCTGTGCATACTGTAGTCTGATAGGCCCTACTATTAATATTACTGTAATAGTAATATGGTAACTGAACTATAGTAGAAGGATGAGAATAAAATTTAGTCTTTTAATTTTTAAAGCATTAAAGAAATAACATTGCATTCTTGATTACTATTAAGCACTAATAATTACTTTAAATATTAAAGTACTTAATTGCATTCTGATTAGTACTTTAGTATGTTGTAATAATAGTAACAGAAATAATAGTAACATAGTCAAAGCTTAGTAATTAACAATTAGAAATAATAATAGTAAATTTATAATAGTATGTATAATAGAAATTTAGTAAATTAAAATAACACAAATTTAGTATTAAAATAAGTAATAAACTAGTTATAGTAGTAATAATAATAATAATGCTAATTTGAGAAATTTGTATTCTTTGAGAAAAGTCATTGTAGCATATCAATCATGATAATTGTATTTGAAAAATGTTTTTCAATTCTCTTGGAATTTTGTACATTTTTTTCATGCTTGTTTTTGATCATAAAACAAGATTTAATCTCTTTAAGAATGTAGGTTTTAGCAGACCCTGGATACCATATGGGTAGTAATGGTAGCAGTATAGAAATTTAGTAAATAAAAATAACATTAGTAATTTAGTATTAAAATAAGTAATAAATTCCTTATAGTAGTAATAATAATAATACAGTAATATTAATTTGTGGAATTTGTATTCTTTTAGAAGTCATTGTAGCATTATTAATCATGATAATTGTTGATAATGTTTTTTCAATTCTCTTGGAATTTTGTATATTTTTTTTCTTGTTTTTGATCATAAAAAAAAAGATTTAAAATCTTAAAGAATGTGGGTTTTAGCAGACCCTGGATACCAAATTTTTCAGCTCCCATATCTAGCTTGATCACTCCCAGACCAAAGTTTTTGCAGAAAGCCTAGACATTTTTGGAAGATGTAGAAGTATAAGTGCATAATATTCACACAACACATATTTAAGAGGAAACAAATCAAGATGTCAAAAGTCTTTGATGTGACACCGACCAGAGATCGTCTGGGGTCAGCTTCAGCTATAAATCTCGGATGCTGAGAAAGTGGGGCACACCTTGTTGAGTTGGCAGCCTGGGAACATGAACTAGTGGTTGTTTTGTTGTTTCAGCGAATTAACCATTTGCCCCTCACTCATTTTCATGCCACCTATTATTTCATGTACCGTGCTCTATTCATGTTATGATAACTAAAATTAACTTCCAGCAGTCTGTTTATTTTTAGCTTCTCTTTTTTTTTTTTTAACAAGATCAATTCAATGGGACTTTTGGCGGCAACAAAAGCTATGTTATTCTCAGTCGTATATCTATGGTGTATTATAATCATTACTTAACAACCATAAGTTATTTTTAACGCCAGTCTGCTGTCATTAATAGCAGCACTATTTTAAGCACTTGTCTTCCTATAGATTCCAATTAATTCATGATTTATGTCTGTTGCTATTAGAAGAGAAAAGTTTATATTAACAACACATTTATCAGTTGCGGATTCAATGTGGGGTTCCAGCTGCCCCTACCCCCTCCTAAATTGTTTTAAATATTATTAATAAAAATGGAAAAAAAAAAAAAAGGCATTGAGAATGCCATTTCCGGCTCTAATTATAAGTGTTCTTACCAAGTCTATGTGATTAAGACACTCCATTATTATTATTATTATTATTATTATTATTATTATTATTATTATTATTATTATTATTATTTTATTGTTATTATTATTGTTATTATTTTTATTATTTTTATTGTTGTTATTATTATTATTATTTCAGGTATATTTTATTCAAAATATACATTCAACAATTCATACAAGAATAATAAAATTATTATATACAATTTCAAACAAATTCAAGTGGTCAAGACACTCCATCTGTGAAAGTCCCTCCAAGAGCCCCCTCTATTTTTGCTTTGATCCGAAATCTTTTCATTTCATCGACTTGGGCACTGAAATTATAATACATCATGCAATATAAGAAGTGAACAAATGATTGTGTATAGACATGCATTATATATATACATTCAATAAATCATTCTAAATTCGTCTGTATGCATATTACCATCGCTACTTTATAAATAACACTAGGAAAAAAGTAAGGGACAAAAAAATGATCATAAAGTGGGCCGCTTAATCTGATTAAATAAAACATAACTGGTTGCATACTGGTAGCTCAGCGAGTAGATAGGTATTTGAAGAACAACTCATAAAAAGAAATAATATAATTGAGAAGACCACAAATATGACAAGTTTCATTCACAATAAAGACTGATTTCACAGCTTGAGGCTATTCAATTCTATAAATAGTGACACATTTTATTAACAAATTTTTACAAGCTGTTATATATAGGTTTCAGCATCTATTTCTAGCAAATATAATTGAAGGTTTATTTTTGAAGATTCATTAATAAATAAGAATTGTTTTGGGCAAGTTGGCCATTGATCATGTGATCCTGCT